AGTTAGTATCTAATTAAACAAAGCTTTAGTATTACTAGTGGTCGCATAGTCGCATAGTCGCATTCATTCATTTTTAATTTTTTTTTAAACTTTATAAGAGTTCTTTTGTCAAAGGTTTAATAGCTATAATGTATTTTTAATCCATTTTATATGAAAAAATAGCTCTATGCACTTCTTCTTTTCTGCATATAAACGTTAAATGTGTCAAATTTCATATGCGCCATTCGCGCCATTTTCTTAAAAAGGGGTACAAAAATCATCAACATCCCATAACAATCCACTGCTGGACATAAGCCTCTCCTTAGAAAAGATGTTTTGACCTACTATACCACGCTGGCCAGACGGCTTGGTATAGGGTTTGTTTCAAGTATTCCTTCTCTCTGCAGTGCTGTTGTCCTGCGTAGTTTGCTCCATTATTCGGCTCTTACGACACCCACGGGATGAATAGGGATGGTGACATTCCGTATTCTTAATCCGTCACCACCCAGACTTATTAATATATAGATTACTTATACCATTTTGTAATTAAACAATATTGAATACTATCGATTGATTTCCTCACATTTTGAACATATGTGACAAATATGATTACCAACAAATTTATCCGAAGGGTAAACACTATTAATTATCGAGGGGGTCAAACGGAGGGTAAGTAACATTAAATGAATTATAACAGCACTCATTTTTATTGGGTAATTTGTGTTTATTGCCATATTTAAAATTAGAAATGGGACTATAATTTTACGGTAAAGACTTATTTATCTTTATTATATGGGCTTTGATTATTGGTATTCCACAACTGCGTACAAGAATCTTTTCACGCTGTATAAAAGAACTATGGATTAAATTATTTTGACTGATCTAGTGCGTGTATCGACACCACTGACAACACCAATGGGGTGTCGTTTTTTTATGGTATAAGGGGCGAACGAGCAGACGGGTCACCTGATGGTAAGCAACTACCGTCGCCTATGGACACCTGTCATTCCAAAATCACAAGTGCGTTGCTGCCCTTGGTGTCCGTCCCAATGTCTCCGTTTACAATTTTTAATTTTTAACGACACCACCGTAATAAACACAAAAGTTATGCATTTATCGATATTATTTATTTTTCATTCGGGAGATCACAACCGTGACAATTTTAAGAAGGCTTTTCCAGAATTTGCTTTAAAGATGCAGTGAAACAAAGATAGAGTGAAAAAAATTAATATAATATCGGATCAAGTTTTATTAATAAATTTAATTAGTTGTTTGTTGGTGTATTGGATACATTTTTTATATTGTACGAATTAGAATTGTGAACTCGACCAATTTCAATATTATCATTAAAAATTTACACACAACGAATTGTTTTATTTCAAGTTGTACATCTGTTCTAAATACATCTAGTCAGTAGTGGTGTCGTTCATAAACACGGTCTATGGTAATCTGTCAGCAGTGGTGTCGTTCATAAACACGGTCTTTGGTAATCTGTCAGCAGTGGTGTCGTTCATAAACACGGTCTATGGTAATCTGTCAGCAGTAGTGTCGTTCATAAACACGGTCTATGGTAATCTGTCAGCAGTGGCGTCGTTCATAAACACGGTCTATGGTAATCTGTCAGCAGTGGTGTCGTTCATAAACACGGTCTATGGTAATCTGTCAGCAGTGATGTCGTTCATAAACACGGTCTATGGTAATCTGTTAGCAGTGGTGTCGTTCATAAACACGGTCTATGGTAATCTGTCAGCAGTGGCGTCGTTCATAAACACGGTCTAAGGTAATCTGTCAGCAGTGGCGTCGTTCATAAACACGGTCTATGGTAATCTGACAGCAGTGATGTCGTTCATAAACACGGTCTATGGTGATCTGTCAGCAGTGGTGTCGTTCATAAACACGGTCTATGGTAATCTGACAGCAGTGATGTCGTTCATAAACACGGTCTATGGTGATCTGTCAGCAGTGGTGTCGTTCATAAACACGGTCTATGATAATCTGTTAGCAGTGGTGTCGTTCATAAACACGGTCTATGGTAATCTGTCAGCAGTGGTGTCGTTCATAAACACGATCTATGGTATAAGGTCTTGACTGCTAACGCAGAGCTCATGGGGTTGGTATTATTATGTTTAGTCAAAAACAGTTCAATTTATCTATCGTCTGACTTCATCATCAGACTATTAGTACCATACCCAGTCTGTTGGACTTGTAGCGTTCCATATATGGCAAGTTGGTCTAGTGTTTAGTGACACTGGCTTAACACCAAGATGTTGTCGTTTCGATTCATACCCAGGACAAATAAATGTGTGATGAGCACGATCATTTGTTTTATCCCTTTGTTTAATTTACCCATAATAATTATAAAGTATTCATACTACTATTATAAAAAGGAAAGTCTATCTGTTTGTCTGTTACCTTCACGCTTAAACCGCTGAACCGATTTAGATAAAACTTGGTATACAGCTAGTTCGAGTCCCGGGAAAGGACATAGGATAGTTTTTATCCCAGAAATTATCCTTTAACGGAGTGATAAGGAGAGTGATAATTTGTATAAGAAATCAATAACCAGATGAAATTTGGTATTGACATAGTTTTATTCTTGACTTTTTAACGCAATAACCGACATACATAAACACAGGCGGAGCCCCGGACTTAAGCTAGTTTAGAAATATAAGTAGGTATGTTTATTAGCAGACCAGTTATCACAGTACAGACTCTGCCTAGTTTGAGGTGTGTCAGGTTATTATTATTATTTGTCTAGATATTATTGTCGAGTATCTTATCTTAGAAATATAAGAACTGAATATTGCGAGAGAATATTTAAACTCGATCTGTCATAGATAACAATAATCAATCAAAAAGTATTTATAACATAGATACGCGTTATATCCAATACCTATTTATTTTTATTTTACCTGTTTGATTTAGCTTATATCACCATCATCCTTTGGTAGTCCACTGCTGGACATAGGCCTCTGGTTAGAAAGGAGGTTTTGGCCTACTATACCACGCTGGCCAGACGGGTGGGTATAGAGTTTGTGACAAGTTTTCCTTCTCTTTGCAGTCCTGTTGTTCTTTTTGCTCCCTTAGTAGGCTCTTACGACACCCACGGGATGAATAGGTGTAGTGACACTCTGTATGCTTAATCACGGAAGCGGACGCGAAACTTGAAACGAAAAATGTGCCGAAACATGGCCCACAGTCAATATTTAACATCACCAGACCGGACAAGATATGAATAAGATTGCTGTTTTAAATTTATCAAAATATGATTTTAGACGGAAGAAATCGCTCAAGATCACGAAGTGACGAACGATCATTTTGTCATATTTATGACAAATATTGTTATTATCTTTATGATAAAACGATTTGACAAATAATATGTCAATCAGGTACTTAAAATTTCCCCCTACTAGTTAAATAACTGGGTAAAACGCAGTGAAAACCCACATTTTATCATCTACTAGCTGACCCGCGCAACTTCGTCTGCGTCTCTCAATAGTAATAAATTTTCTCCGTTTTTGAAACATTCTTCATTGGTGCTCCGCTCCTATTGGTCTAAGCGTGATGATATATAGCCTATAGCCTTCCTCGATAAATGGGCTATCTAACACTGAAAGAATTTTTCAAATCGGACCAGTAGTTCCTGAGATTAGCGCGTTCAAACAAACAAACTCTTCAGCTTTATAATATTAGTATAGATAATTGTATCCAACTTATATAATTGGCCTAGATCAACATACACACAGCAAGCGAAGGACCAAGTGGGAGTCGTGACCTATCAATAGGTCAAACAGATCGCAGGAAATAGAGAGGAGTGGCGATTGCTCCACCGACAAGGCCTTGCTCTTAAATTGAGAGAGAGATGTAATTGGTGAAAATTCTATTGTCGTCATCTGGGGAATTTAGAAAGGAAAAGAGAAAGGCAGTAAGAGAAAATAAAAGGCAATAAATTGCAGCCGTTGCAGAGTGTAAACAACAGCTATAACAATAAATAATAATAATAATAACATTACACATCTCAGACGAGCGTCGGTCACAAACTAGGCAGATCCTGTACTATGGTATCCAGACTGCTATTAAACACATACAAAATATAGTAAACATAAATTATACCCAGACACAGAACAAATGATCATTCTCATCACAAAATATTTGGCCTGATTCTTGTCATCATCATCATCAGCCAATCGCAGTCCACTACTGGACATAGGCCTCTCCCATTGGACGCCACTTAGATCCATTTTGGGTTCTCGCATCCAGCTCCAGTCAGCCATGACTCATACATTTTTAAATTGAATTTTTCTAGTTATTGTCAACTAAAAACTGTAAACTTTAGATCTCATGATGCCTGATGATGAATTTGTGCCATGGATGACTACCGCCATCCATGGCACAAATTCAATTTCATAAATAACACTGTTATTGCTCTATAGCTTAAACATGTGAATAATATATTTATTAGTCATCTCTGTTGACTCATATACTTAATTTAGAGATAGCGCTGGTCGGGATCTTTTATCAATTGCTAGTGATCCATTCACTTTGAAAAACCTCTCTATAAACGATAGGAAGTGGGTAAGTTAAAAATATGTGACTTATTAACCGCGCATGGTACTAGATTAAAATCAATTAGAAATATAAAAGGACCAAGATATGGTCCTTGTAGTACACCCATAGCAATAAGTAAATCAGAATATTAATCCAACATGTTGCATTAATATAAATGTTTTGTATTCTGTTTTTAATATTCGACTCCTGGAAATCCCTAACACCATATTACCTATATGTATCTTTGCAAGACGCAAATTATGATCAACGTAATCAAAAGCTTTAACGAGAACACTATCAAAATATCGTAAACAGCAAATTGCATATAATTTCAAAACGTTGACCAGTTACATTTTTAAATTGGTTAAATTGACAAACAGATCTGCAAAATAGTATGACAAGATAGTAAAATAACGTAGCAATGAATCTACTTTTAGTGCCTAAGAGCGTGTTAAAATAAAAAATCATCATACCTCCCAATTCCGGTATCCTGTGATAAAACATTCCAGTCCTGGCCAGCCACTCGAGCTGCATATGATGCAATACCCTGTCTCCAGGGTGGTGGAAGGCTGAAGGCATCGGAGCCCCCGGAGGCATTCCTCCGGGTTGAGACATTGGATAGTTGAAGAGGGCTGCTGATTGCGCAGCTACGAGAGCGGGGTTTTGAGGTAGAAGGCCTGGTTTTGGTATAATTCCTGTGAAGAAAAAAGAGAATTGTGTAGATTTAATAATAATTTTGTACAAAGATGCATGCAAAAACATAGCAAATATCGTAACAAGTTTAAGATTATATGTGATGTTTAAAATATCAATATTACCACACAAGGGCATTATTACTTCAACTCATGTATCGAGGTCACGGGACTTTTGTAAATTTAATTAAATATTAATGATGTAATATTGTCTAAATATTTATTTGTAAAAAGATGTGTCTGTTTGTAATGTTAAAAATGTTTTGTATATGGTGCTTTGCTCTCTTACAAGAAGTTATTTTTCTTGATTCAAAGTATCATCACGAAGTACCAACTCACTCAAGGCTCATAAAAAATGTTATTCTTAAAAATAATATTGCAAACACTCACCAGGTCTATAGCTTTCAAATTCTTCATTCCCGCCTTCAACACCCGGCGAGATTGGAGGACTGTAACTCCCAGATCGATTACCATCATCTGATCCTGGACTCGCCGAACGACTACTCTGTCCAGACCTCGGACTCCTCTGTCCAGATCTGCCAGACCTGGGACTCTCTCTACCTTCGCATTTAGAAATCATATTCTGCTCAATTTGGGCATCATAGTTTTCTTGGTATCTTCCTATATAGTTTTTGTTGTGTATAATAGTTAGGTATTTTTGTTGAGATATTTTATCTTGTAAGCTACTCTCTGGCAGTTGTCTGGATAGTAAAGCATCTATACAGAAGGACTTTTTCCCTTGATTCAGAATAGTCTTGTCTTCTGTGTTGTAGAACTTCATGTTTTTTGGACTGTTGGATCTGCTGCGGTCAGGGTTGGACTCCGTGTCTATTTCTAATGGTCTTTCTTGCAGTTCGTTCGAGTCTCTTCGGTAGATGCCGTGAGGTAAGATTTGGGAGGACATGTTGTGCGAATGTTTGTAGTCCTCTTACATTATGTACCTGTTAAAAATACAAATTCATTTATTTATTTAAACACATATGCACTCTTCTCTATTATATAATATATCCTGTGTCGCGGGGGACTTTACATACATTTATGAAACGGACACAATAAACACCCAGACTTAGAACAATAATTTGTAGATCACACAGAAAGTGTTGTTTACGCGCTACTGTTTCAGACCTACTTGATATACAGACAGATACACACACAGACATACACACACACACACACACACACACACACACACACACACAATTTATTACTACTGCCGCTCCTTTCTTTTTGCTCTTTTCTTAAATTTTGTACTCTCTTGCACAACTATATTGTAACCACCTCACTAAGGTGTTTTGATTGACCTGGTGTCCTGTGACACAGGTTTTTATACCTACCTCAGGCGATCCACTACCGAAATTGTCAAATGATATAGCGTAATCGTATTTTCATTGTATGCATTTTGGTTTTTGTGAGAAATTAAATTATATTATTATTATTTTTACTTCTGATTGGAATAAAGACAGCCTCAACTAAGGGTGACGCATTTCAAGACCAGCGCTCTTAGAGGTCAAAAGCGCCTTGAGAGGCGGGACATTTCAGACTGCGTTTTATGGTCCGTAACGAGCAGACGGCTCACCTGATGGTAAGCAACTACTGCCGCCCATGGACATCTGTACCTCAAAAGTCAAAACTGCGTTGCTGCGATTGGAGTCCCTCCCGCTCTAGTCAGCGGATTTGGGCTCCGGTAACCTCACTCATTCAGTGAAAGTTTCCAAATTATTATTTTTCCAAATTAAATTAAACGTTATTCAGTTGTTATAATTTTATTACGTACCTACAGTATTGTTATCAGTGATACACAAAATGGACTGCATCAAATCTTATCAGTGTTCGTTTATGTAGCAGCTTATTTTCGAAAAAAATGCAGCATCTTTAGGTGAAACCCGAGCCGTTTTTGGTCGTCATCAAACTACTTTGTGCTTTGACTCTCAATTTGCTGGTGTTCATAATTACTTCACCCAGCTCTCCCACAGCCGTCTGATCCCAAACTAGGCACAGCCTGCACTATAGTAACCAAACTGCTGATAAACATACTTATATATCTCTAAATACATACATATTATAGAGAAATTTAATGACGTGCTCATCACACTATTATTTGTCCTGTATGGGGATCGAACCCACAACCTCTGTTTTATAGTCAAGGTCACTAACCACTAGACCAACAAGCCAGGCAATCTAAACGCGGTGACCCGTGTTCTCTTTTCCCTCCATATCCCATTAAAAAAGAAACTTGTCTCCGGTACAGGTCATGGTACCGTCGACATAATGTATCTACTAAAACAGCCCATCCGGACGACCGGATGGCGTAGTGGTTTGTGTAACGGACTGCTATTCCAAAGGTCGCGGGTTCGATTCCCGCTCAAGTCACACATTTGTGTGCATAAACATTTAATGTTTGATTTGGTCTGGGTTTTTCTATGTATAATATGTATGTATTTACAAAAAAAAAATAGTATATATGTATTTATATCAGTTGTCTAGTACCCAAAGTACAAGCTCTGCTTAGTTTGGGATTAGATGGCGTTGTGTGAATGTAGTAAAATATATTATCTTTATTATATATCCTTAACATGTTGTCAATCTGCATTTAGTTTTATACATTGCTCGTTCTGTGCGAATGTATTAAAAACAGGTGCAACTCAACCGTCAATGTAAATTAAAAACACACTTACTCTTACAAAAAAATAGCTTAACATCGGGTTTCTGTGAGGCCGTGGTATTACCCCGGTCGAGCCGACCATTCATGCAAAAGTATGATTCTCCTACAGATTTATGATCATGGCCATCCTTTACTCTTTTATCATCATTTGCCTTATCACTGAACTATAAGGTGATCCATACCCTATTTTACAACTCGTATATATGCAGAGCGAGAGCGTGTTAAGCCCACAGTACCATTATGAACATCTGTGACAATCACTATGGGTAGGAATCGGGAGTACAGAGGGAACATGGGGGTTCCCATACAGGGGGAGTCGTCTACCCGCCGTAGATGGCCCGAGGTAAGTCGGGGCACCAGGCATTTCCTTTATAGGGTACAATTGGTTCCCCGACTACTGGTACCTGAGACGGCGCCCAAGGAGCACCACACGCTGTATTTTAGTTTTTTTTTATACCACAGGCTGTATAGTGAGGCTGTACAAGGGCTGTATCAGCGCTTATACAACCCTTATAAGTAAAAATTGGGCCCATTTTCATATAGCCTAATGCGTTATTATGGCTGTACAGTAGCTGTAGAAGTAAAAAATAGGCTGTAATATAGCTGCAGTGGAGCTGTAGTATGGTGTAAAAGGAAACCACAGGAATATAGTTATCTTCTTATAAATGTCTTTAAAAGATAACGGTTCTTAATCGGCCGGTGCGGTTTTAGGCAGTCCGATATTGCCACCGGTAAGTGGTATCCGAGGGGATTTCCCCACAGAAAAAAAAAGTTGGAAATCTAAAAAGTCCAACAACAGTTTTTTTACAGACCTTAGATATCGCCTAGTACGGGTAGTACTTGGGTTGTGGAGGTCTGATTGATGGCTGTCGAAAAAATCATTTTTTTATTTTTAAGCTGAACCTAGTTTGGGTCCGTGTGGTGACGGATTAAGAATACAAATTGTCACCACCCCAATTCATCCCGTGGGTGTCGTAAGAGCCGACTAAGGGAGCAAACTAAGCAGGACAACAGCACTGCAAAGAGAAGGAAAACTTGAAACAAACCCTATACCAACCCGTCTGGCCAGCGTGGTATAGTAGGCCAAAACCTCCTTTCTAAGGAGAGGACTATGTCCAGCAGTGGACTAGTATAGGCTGTTGATGATGATGATGATTGATGAGTTTGGGAAATGACCCCAACCGACCCCAACCTAGTTTGGGAAATAGCTCGGAGGATATATATTTGTATTAAAACCAGTCTAAAACACTGCCCCTCGGTACCAAAAAGCTCTCAGCTTTTAAAAGCAAATATTTAACGAATCGTCGCAGTTTGCAAAATGTCGTTGTTTTATAAAAAAGATGTATAATTTGTGTGTGATGTTGGTTTGTACATAAATACGCTCATAATTATCAAGAGCGTTTAATGGTCCACTGCTAGACATAGGCATAGGCCTCTCCTTAGAAAGTAGGTTTTTAGCCCCAAACCGTACACACTTTGATGTGGATGTTTTTTTTATCTTGGGAATCGACTACCACCGCCTGATGAGCCCGATCGTTTGTTCTGTGTCTGGGTGTAATTTATCTATGGTATGTATGTATTTACAGGCCCGACTCTAGCCTGTTGAAGGCCTGGGCAAATTAGCATATGGCCCCTATGAACTTAGCTGAGCACTATTTTGTTAGAAAGGACAAAAAAAGTATTGTAGTCAGTCATTACAAATAGATTTTTCGAAATAATTATGTTTTTCGGTGATAAATATTGATTTTCTATTGGTGATCTGGCAGGAGTCGGGCCTCTATCGATCGAGGGGCCCTGGGCTCGTGTCTAGAGTGCCCAGTGGGAAAGAGGGGCCTGTGTATTTAGAAATGTATAAGTATTTATCAGCAGTCTGGTTACCATAGCACAGGCTCTGTCTAGTTTGGGATCAGACGGCCGTGTGTGAGATGTCTCAAGTTATTATTAAATAATACTATTTCTTGAGCTTCGATTTGCAGTGATATTTGTATAGTAATCTGATATTAGTGTTTATTTATTATTTTTTTAAACTAGTGTAAACCTTTTGTTATAATAAATGGTGTAGGTATAGTTAGGTGATGTAATCAGGGAAGAGCGCTGATGTCTGGGATACAGATTTCCTATCTAGTCCAGGCACAGATGCCCCAATTTAAATGTATTATGTACCCACAGTAATATTTGTAAAACCATGTACTGTGCAAAAACACTGTTTATGGAATAAATTATTATTATTATGGGCACTTGCAACTACCACTAATGGATCAAGTGCGGGGTTGAAGTAGAGGTCTGGTAACGCCACTTATTCGGAGAAAAGCGACGAAAAACCACAAGGCCCATTCTCGTAATAAAAGTTCAGTCACAATTCAGTTCCGATCAACTTCCGATATCACAAAAAAAAGACAAATTACATCTGTTGTTAATTACTTTATAATGTCTGTAGGGTGTACAAATAAAGTGTTATCTATCTATCTATCGGTTAACTACTAGAATTTAATTAACCCATAACTAAATTCTTCATTTATCGGCAATAAAAGCTCCTGAATGATACCATTATAGCATTATCTCTCCATTATAATATTTTAATATAAAAATATTAATAAATCGTTATCCGTATTAAATTAAGTCGCGTGCCTACATAATCAGTATTTATTATTAATCTATACTGATATTGAGTGAGTGAGTTTGTTTGTTTGAATCTCAGGAACTACTGGTTCGAATTGAAAAATTATTTTAGTGTTGGATAGCCCATTTATAGAGACAGACTATAAGCTATATTACATCACGCCATTGCAAATCGCTCTCAGCGTTGTTCTTTTATAGTTATTGGTATACACAGAAAAATAATGTTTCTTTTACTCTATCTTTTTTTTTCCGTGCGTAAATCCCCTCGGATACCACCTATCGGTGGCATGTCGGACTCGAACCGACTAAAACCGCACACCGTCTCGGGTACTAATAGCCGGGGAAATAGCTATACCCTAGAAAGGCAGTCCCTGGTGCCCCGACATACCTCTGGGCCATCTACAACAAGTAGACGACCCCCCGCGTGTGGGAACCCCATGTTCCCTCTGCTCCCTGGAAGCGAGCGCGCTTCGCAACGTGCTCGCCGCCATCCCGGGTGACAGATATGCGCTTATGGAGGGCAGAGGTCGCTGCGCGACCTCCGGCGCCTGAGTCGCCTGCGGTACCTGGCCCGTTCCCGGGCCTGGCGGGCCGGGAGAGTTCTAAACCTCTCCCGGTCCCGC